AATATAATCGACTGAGATCTATATTCAAATCTGAACTGCCACAAATCAATCCGTCCGAGAAAAAGGTTGTGAAAATGTACGATCGTCGATGGGATATCCCTAATATCATTGATGATATGCAGAATTATGATTGTGAGGAACCAGAAAGTATAGTTACGTGGAAAATATATGGCCTTTGCAATAACGATGCTGTTTCGTGTTACGCTAATGTAATATTACAATGTGCGTTTCATTGCGTACGTATTAGGCAACAAATACTGAAAAATAAAGCATCGAATGCATTGACTGATGCTATCTGCGCGTATGGTGAACGTAAATATTGCAACATTCAAGCGGTTAGAAGATCTGTCGGAAAACGCTTCGAAGAACGAACACAACAAGATGTTTCGGAATTTTTTACGGCTCTAATGTCGACGTATTCCGACATCAATGATGTATTAAAACTCGAATTAAAGCACGTAACATGTTGCTCGAATGTCAAATGTAATTACAATGTAACTAAGCTGGAAAGCAGTAGTTTGTTAATATTACCTATACATTCGACATTAAAAAGGAAAAAAGGTGTCACTCTACAAAGTTTGATTAATGTAGAATTTTCTAAATGGGAAACGATAAACGGCAATTGTAACGAATGTAAGGGCACCGTGTTGAAAAAGAAAACCGTAATCGAATCAACTTTATCCGTCGTAGTAATACAGCTCAATTTATATACTTTTGTAAACGGTGCTTCTAAAAAAATTATCAACAATCGAATGACCGCCGTGCCGACGAGTAATATCACGATTAATAAAAAAAAGTACAAGCTAATAAGCGCTATATTTCACGAAGGTGAAGAAATAAATCGTGGTCACTACACGTGTATGTTGAGAGCTGACACAAAATCGGAATGGTATTACTCTAATGATATGGAAGTGTTCAAGAAAAAATGGCCCAAAGGAGCACAAGGGGCATAATATTGTTCTTAGAACAGATTAAATAATGGCGCTGTATAAAGGCTGCCGTAAACGCTACATTAAAACATCAACTGTTCTAGCGCTGTATAAAAGTTGCCGTAAGCGCCAAAATAAAATATCGGCTGCTCTGGCGCTTTATAAAAGCTGCTGTAAGCGCTGCATTAAAACGAGTGCAATAAGTTTCTAATTTGACCTAGGCTTCATGACATTTCAAAAAGTATCATCAAGAAAAAAATTATCAGACAGAAATATGTATGTCGTGTTAAAATCGGAGAGACGAAGAAAAATATATGGTTGCGTTCTCACGAGAATGGGCGATGGAGGGGCCCATTCTTTATTTTCAATATTCATACAAGAATATAAATTCATTCTGTTGCAATTGAAATAAATGTGCAATGTATCGTTAAAAGTTATTACAATTATACAAACATTTACATATATGATTAAATAAAATATATATGTATACTATAATATAATTATATATTTTATATATGTACATATATACCATATATTTCAATTATTTTGAACTGTATTGCATAAATTGTTACTTATACAAAGTTATGTGATAAGAATCGAAAATACATATATTTGTAATACTTGAATTACTAGAAAGCTGCTCTATATATCTGTACTTTAAAAAGTAAGTGATATCCTAAAAAAATCATAAAAATGAAAAGGTCAGGCCATGTTCAAAAGAAGGTACTCAAAAATTTAAACGATCTAATAATAAATTATCACGAAAAGTAACTGATATGTTATTCAAGGTGCCAGTTCAAAGTGAACATACGTAAAGTGTATATTATCTAAATTTAGTAATAATATATTACCATGAAAAGTAACTGTGATATTTTATTCAAGGTGCAAGTTCACATTGAATATACATACATATAAGTAAAACTGATTACAATTTGATTCTAGAAAATAAGTGCGATATGTTATTCTTAGTGCACAAAATATAATAGTCGTTTATAGAGATTTGATTTGAAATTCATACTAGCCCGTACAATGAAAAATAATTGCTCGTAATTCCAGAGTACCAATTTGTTAATGACTCAGAAAAATAACATGGCGGCCTGCTCTCAAAAAACTTTCGATGGGTAGAATAAATAATTGAAATAAGAGTTGTGAAAATTGTATAAATTAAAAACCTCCAATCTTTCTTTAGTAAAATTTCGAATTTTCGTATCAACTTCCGATTTGTGTTATACCGTATTTTCAGGGAGTAAGTTATTGATCAGAAAACTTTGCCTTGTTGCTCGAAACGGGTGTATATTAAGTAAAATTTATAAATGTACAGTTCTCAGGTCAACTACAATAAAGCAATAAAGTTAAAACTTAAAAAGTTTACTGATTATTTGTCGTAATATACAATAAAAAATTACATATTAATTATTCAAGATACAAGTGAGAAATAAATATCATTAAAATATACAAAAAAAATTTATCAATTTGACTCTGAAAAGTAAGTGACATGGTTCTCAAAGTGCAAGGTTTCATTTGACTTACAATTTTCTTCAGAAACACAGAAGAAAAAGGTATTTGTATATAGTTTTGTATATTCACTTCGTTGTGTGTGTAGAGCTTTTAAAAATACGTTGAATCCTTATTCTAATCTAATCTTCTTCTAATGTAATACTTTTCGTATTTCAAATGTTGTAGTAATTATTCTGTAAGAGCTTTGACATTATTTCTAAATGGACATCGAGAAACATCATAGTTTTTTGAGAGCAGGCCGCCATGTTATTTTTCTGAGTCATTAACAAATTGGTACTCTGGAATTACGAGCAATTATTTTTCATTGTACGGGCTAGTATGAATTTCAAATCAAATCTCTATAAACGACTATTATATTTTGTGCACTAAGAATAACATATCGCACTTATTTTCTAGAATCAAATTGTAATCAGTTTTACTTATATGTATGTATATTCAATGTGAACTTGCACCTTGAATAAAATATCACAGTTACTTTTCATGGTAATATATTATTACTAAATTTAGATAATATACACTTTACGTATGTTCACTTTGAACTGGCACCTTGAATAACATATCAGTTACTTTTCGTGATAATTTATTATTAGATCGTTTAAATTTTTGAGTACCTTCTTTTGAACATGGCCTGACCTTTTCATTTTTATGATTTTTTTAGGATATATATATATAAATCCTGATGACGTCAGCGGACGCGGACAGAGAAGAAGAAGAAGAAGAAAGACGACGTTACTTCATTTTTCATGAAAAACGTCACTTTTTGACCGCTTGTATCTCAGAACGGCTTGACCGATTTTATTTTTTCTTGGCTCAAATTATTCGTGGCGATGCCGCCTTTCAGATTATATTACGTGCAATTCAAAATTTTTTATATTTTAATAGTTCTATACTCCCAAAAAATGGACTTTGATGGTGCAGGATAAGGAGACTTGTAGTGTCTTTTAAGGTCTTTTAGGGTTTGAACATGGCCGGAGACACTACCGCGTCTCCTAATAACTGGATTTAAATAATATATATCTTTTCCTTGGTTCTAGCAAAGTTATTGTACGTAATAGTTACAATATAAATAATAAATAATTTACGTTTTTTAAACCATATTTTTATTCAGAACATTTTTAATTCATTATACATTTATTATTTTAGAACAAATGGAAAAAAATTCGAGAAATATGCAATATATATTAACATTAAATATAATTAAATTTACTCTTATATGTCTCTCTCTCTCTCTCTCTCTCTCTCTCTCTCTTTCTCTCTTTCATATGTAATTATATTATTTACACTTTTTTCTCCCATTTGCAGCGGCTATAACCCTTTTTTCGAAGGAATCGTCTGTTAATTTATTATATTAAGAGTAAATTTAATTATATTTAATGTTAATATATATTGCATATTTCTCGAATTTTTTTCCATTTGTTCTAAAATAATAAATGTATAATGATGTGCGCGACGGAAAGCAGGATAGGAAGGTCGGAAGCGAGACGATAGATAGCACAGCACTCGACACACGCGTATCGTTAACAAAAATATATATTTCAACTATTAACAAGAATACAATTGTTTAACCGCACAGAATTTACCAAAAGATAGCCGAGTCGAACGTATTAGAAAGTAATGCAATAAACGAGAGAAAAGCCGGGTCGAAAATAAATTACTGAATGTCCGCAAGCAACGGTAATTAAACGTGAAAAACGAAAGACAAGCGATCTTTTTCGTAAAGTATAAGCACACTCTTGACGCGACAAGCAATCGGAAAAGAGCGCCGGGGTTACGAGAGAGGAGGTTTATATAGGCCTTATTTTCTGGAATATTCGAGAACATTTTTATTACTCTATCTGTAGGTTGAGGGCGAAAGAACATTCGCTGTAATTATTTACGTTCCCGCAATTCGTAGTTTTGTTATTGTTGGGAACTAAAATGTATCTCCTCTCGCGCGACCGCGGTGTTTACAATTATATGTGATTTGACGTAAGCGCTTCCTTTTCGCAGGCGCGGGGTACCCGTAAACCTGTGCGGCCGAGCGCTATTTGAAAATAATATTAATATAAAATTAAGCATGATGCATGTTGCATGTGAATGAAAAGACTGCATGAATTTTAATGTAATAATGTTTTAAGACTTTTCAGCTTTCGTTAGACGTTCGATTTTCGAACATTCCGCCCGCCTTGCAGTATACCTGCAATCCACTGAGTAGTGCGATAAATGGGGCGCGCGCTTGTTCACGCGCTCGCGGGTTCCGGACACGAGGAGTTCACGTGCTCCGGCTTAGGTCGCGAAAGGAATGCTGAATCGGTCAGCTGTTTATTTCTTACGTAGCAGTATAGACGCGTGTCGGCTCTTGTGTCGCGAAGACCGAGCAATTAAGATAAATTAGTATATTGTAATTTAGGATGAGGCGACTATTTTGGTGGTGAGAATGGTGTCGTAATGAACAGAAGGTAGTGATGTGATAGTATGTTGGTGAAGTGAAAGTGGGCGTGCAATTGATGAGAGAAGAGCGATGAAGATCTGTGGAAAAGAAGAACAGAATTATATGAGCCGCTTTACGCCGGATTATCGTAAAGTTTCGTGGTCGCCGCCCAGGAACACAAGTTTACTGACGGGGCGCGTTAAACTCGTACTCGCGGTACGTATATCGACGACGCGCACGTGGCCGTCGGATCCGGGATGCAGCCGAGTGATGCGCGCGAGCGGCCACCGCGTTGGTGGGGTGGTTTCGCTGCGGAGTAGACACAGACGCCCGACGTGAGCCTCCTGGTTGACTTGGGACCATTTTGGCCGATGGGCCAGCGTATGTAAGTATTCGCTGGACCACCGAGACCAGAAATGGTCCCTCATCTGTTGCAGGAGCTGCCAGCGTGATAGTCGGGTCGACGGCTCTCGTTCGAGCGACGGCTCCGGTACTGCGGAGAGAGCGGAACCGATCAAGAAGTGCCCCGGTGTGAGAGCTGCGACGTCCTCAGGATCATCGGACAAGGACTGCAGCGGTCGTGAATTGAGGCAAGCCTCTATCTGCGAGAGGAGCGTAGCCAACTCCTCGTAGGTGAGGGTCGCATCACCGATGACTCGTCGCAGATGGTGCTTCATCGATTTAACCGCGGCTTCCCACAAGCCGCCGAAGTTCGGTGCCGCCGGTGGGTTGAAATGCCACTGGATCCTCTCCTGTGCGGCGAATGAGGCGATGCGGCGTCCGTCGGCACTGGCGGCGGAGAAGAGAGAGTTTAGCTGCCTGTCAGCACCCACGAAGTTGGTACCGCAGTCGCTGTATAAGCTGATGCAGACCCCTCGCCTTGAGATGAGTCGGCGCAAGGCTGCGATAAAGGCGTCGGCGGAGTAGTCCGAGGCTACGTCGAGGTGAACGGCTCGGGAGGCTAAACATACAAAAACCACAATGAACCCTTTAGTAGCTTTGTGTCCGCGGCCCTTCGAGGTCCTCAGCCAAACCGGACCGGCGTAGTCGACGCCGGTGTGCAGAAATGGCCTGCTTGGTGTGACCCTTGGCCCCGGGAGATCGCCCATGAGAGGCTGTGGGATGGCGGCTCGCCATCTTGTGCACCTTACACATCGGCTGATGTGTTTCTTCACCAACGACCGACCTCGAGGGACCCAATACTCCCGGCGCAGGGAGCACAAGGTCATCTGAGTACCGCCGTGTAAAGTTCGCTGGTGGTGATCATCTACGACGAGGAGAGTGAAAGCTGACTCGCTGGGCAGTATTGGCGGGTGAGTTGCGTCGTACGGTAGGTTTGCGTGTCTGAGGCGCCCGCCGACTCGTAGAAGTCCCTCGCTGTCCAGGAATGGGTTCAGCCTCTGTAGGGAGCTTCGCGACGGCAGAGTCGCTCCATTTTGCAGCTTTCTAATGTCTTCTGTAAAGGTTTTAGATTGGATCAACCTTACCCAGGAGATGCGGGTCTCCGTCAGTTCGTCGGAGCTGATCACGCTAGGCTGGCCTTGCGCATGGCGGTGCTGGCGGTGAATCAGCAACCAGCGGCGGCACCAAGCCGAGATCCGTAGCAGTCGCTTCAGTGAGGAGTAGCGCAGCAGTAACTCCGATTCGGGCTTCAGCTCGGTAACGGCGGCGATGTGGGTCCGGGCTCGTCTCTCTGGGAGGTCCTCCGCTGGCATCGCCTCGCTATTCGTCGTCCAAGTACCGCTCTCCTCTGTCAGCCATGCGGGACCTTGCCACCAGAGCGGGTGGTCAACCAGTTCGCTAGGGTAGAGTCCCCGGGAAGCACAGTCTGCTGGGTTCTCCCGACCTGGTACGTGATGCCAGTGGGCGTCCGGGATCAGCATCTGGATCTCGCTGACTCGATTAGCTACATAGGTGGCCCACATCGAGGGATGCCCACGGATCCAACCAAGCGTGACGGTGGAATCAGACCACATGTGAAGAGGTGCCTTGGCTGCTCCGATGATCGGTACGGTGTGGGCGACTAGACGAGCCAGAAGAGTGGCGGCCGACAGCTCCAACCGAGGTAGTGAAACTTGCTTCAAGGGCGCGACCTTAGTTTTTGCAGCTAAGAGTGCCACCTTAATAAGACCCTTTGTTTCTGTCCTCAGGTATAGCACCGCTGAGTAGGCACGCTCTGAGGCATCGGCGAACCCGTGGATTTCCAGCTGTGAATCAGTCAAACCTCCCAGCCATCGAGGTACGAGCACGTTTTCCAAAGCAGGCAGCTCGTTCTGGAATCGCAGCCATCTTCTCTCGTCGTCGCTGGGTAGCGGAGCGTCCCAATCAAGACCTAGCAACCAGGTGGACTGGATGAAGATCTTGGCTAATACCGTTGTTGGGGCCAGCCAGCCGAGAGGGTCGAACATTTTCGCCGTCAAAGATAATACCGACCTTTTGGTGAAGGTCGACAGCGTGGTCAGTTTGGTTGCGAAAGCGAAGCGATCGTCACGTGGTTGCCAGCGTAAACCGAGAGTGGAGTGACTCTCGCCGGGCAGCCACCATCTGGCCTCTCGTCGAAGACGGTCGTCGGGCTCCACTGCGTTCAGCAGGGCGAGTGGTTCGCCGACCACTTTTTAAGTGAGAAGCCGCCCGCCCTGCAGATCTCAGTCAGCTGTTGCAGCATTACTTCGGCTTCCTCCATGGTCTCCGCACCGGCCAGGATGTCGTCCATGTAGACGTCGCTCAGCAGGATGAGGGCTCCTTTCGGGTAGCGATGTCCTTCATCCTCGGCTAGTTGTCGTAAAGTGCGGATCGCTAGATAAGGAGCACAGGATAGACCGTAAGTAACGGTACTTAGCCAGTACTCCTTGATTTCGTCCTTGGCGTTCCCTCTCCACAATATCCTTTGCAGGTTTTGATCGTCGGGGTGCACCAGTATCTGCCTATACATCTTTTCGATGTCAGTCGCGAAAACGTAGCGATGACGTCGCCAGCGCAGCAGGATGTCGGCGAGCGAAGGCAGTAGATTCGGACCAGTTGCTAAATATCTATTGAGGGAGTCTCCGTTCGGCAAGGAGCTCGAGCCGTTGAAGACGACCCTCAGTTTGGTTGATGAGCTGTCCGGACGCAATACTCCGTGATGAGGCAGGTAGCAAGCCCCCGGATGCGATTCAGTTGACGACGGAGCAGGCCTCATGTGTCGCAGGTTCAAATATTGCCGCATGAATTCCACGTACATACCTTGAAATTCGCTGTCTCTCTCAAACTTTTTCTCTGTGTGTTGCAGCGCTCGGCGGGCCGCGCGGATTGTTCCTGAGAGGTCCGGCAGAGAGTCAATAGTGGGCAGGCGCACGATATACCGGCCGTCTGGAGAGCGAGTATGATGTCGGCGATAGTGCTCTTCGCACTCCAGTTCGGCCTTGGTGAGGATCGGAGATGGCCTACGAACTTCCTCCTGCTCCCAGAACCGCCGAACCAGGCAGGTGATGTCCTCCTCGATTTGGCAATGGTGAGTTGCAACACGATGACCGCGTGCATTCTCATTGATGGTGCCTGAGAGTATCCATCCTAGTGAGGTCTGCTGTGCCACTGGTTCCTGATGACTCCCCTTTTTTAGGCCCTCGCGGATGATTACTCCGTAGACGTCGGCGCCCAGCAGAAGATCTACTGGATCCGCGGAACGGAATTCTGGATCGGCGAGCTCCAGGTCCTTAAGATGGGTCCAGGACTGCAGACTTTGGCGGCATCCTCCGGCGAAGAGAGTGAGCTTCGGCAGGATCAAGGCGGCGACGGAGTTGGACTGGTCGCCGTTGTGCGCTCTAAAAGTAAGCTGAACCTTACCCTTTGCAACTCCCGTTTTTTTCTCGCCGAGTCCATAAACGCTGACGGCGGCGGGCATGCGAGGCAGTCGCAGTCGCTGAACCAATCGCTCCGATATGATGGAAGACTCTGAGCCCTGGTCGATCAGCGCTCGGGCGGAATGCCAGGATCCGTGGCCATCGAGGACGCGGACGCGAGCTGTGGCGAGCAACACTGTGACAGAGGCCGGATGAGATCCTTGCGCTAAGTGTGACGTTGTGGCGGTCTTGGCGTTGCAGAAGGCGTCGTGCAGCGAGGAGTGATGCCGACTGCCGCACGTCGTGCAAGTCTTTTTTGATGAGCATTCCGAAAGCTGGTGTCGACCCAGGCAGTTTGAGCAGAGATTTTGATCGTTGACAAACTGCCTGCGGGCCGTAGCCGTCTTCTCCTTGAATTTGCCACAAAACATTATGAAGTGGTCGCCCTGGCAATCGGCGCACCGACTTCTGGATCTATCCTTCGTTTCAGCTTTCTTCACGTGATGGCTCCGAGTTGTTTTTGCACTGCTAAGGTTGCGGCTGTCGTTCTTGGCTGGAAACAGTGCCTCCAAAGTATGAAGCCGTCGCTCGATGAAGGCTTCCAGCTCGGCGTAAGTAGGCGGGTTGGTCGTGTGGCTGATGACGCTCTCCCATTCCCGACGAGAACGATTGTCGAGGAGCTCGACGACCAGATGCACAAAGAGGTCCTCCGTGCGATCGATGGGACGATCGATACTCTTCAGCGAGCTGACTGTGGTTTTTACGCCGTGAAAGAGTCGCCCCAGTTCCACTGCGGATTCGCTCTTCATCTTAGGAAGCGCCAGGAAGTTGTTGAGGTAGTTTCGGGTTAACAGCCTTGCGTTCTCGTAAAAATCGCTTAGCGTCTTCCAAGCGATTTCGTAGTTTTCCTCCGTAGTGTTCAGGTTGCGTATCAGTAACTCCGCATCACCCTTGACACAGAGTTTGAGATAATGTAATTTTTCAACAGGTCTGGCTGCCTGGTTCCTGCCAATGATGGACTGGAAGAGGTCTCGGAACGAAGGCCAGTCTTCGTACTTCCCGGTGAAGGTCGGCGGTTGAATCTTAGGCAATGCGGTCCGAGGAGCGGCGGCCGGTGTCGCTGCCGAACTTGGTCTGGATGTATGCTCTTGTCGTTGGAGAGTGCTCTTCAGATCGAGCATGAGGCCCTTGTTCTGTAGGTAAGCCTCCTCGCCCAACGAAGGGATATCTTGTTTGGCGTACACCTCATGCCGTATTTCGTCCACACGATCGGCTAAAGTGTCGTTAATTGTGTCAAATTTTCCCACAGCTTCTCGAGGTTTTGAAGCCGGGCCTCCACCGCGCCGAGGGTGATATTGGCCTCGCCGAGCTTCCGAAGGTTCTCGTACGCGCGCGAGATTTTGCCGTATAGCACTGTGGCTGTGGCAATGATTGCCTTAGTGTCTGTCATGTCTAAAACTGTTTCTCTTTTCTAGGAGCACTGGTCACCGACACTGATTCACTATCGCTTCCGTGGCACCGGATTCAAGGGAGGTTCCTGAGGAATCCGGCTCGAAGGACCAAAAATGTGCGCGACGGAAAGCAGGATAGGAAGGTCGGAAGCGAGACGATAGATAGGCACAGCACTCGACACACGCGTATCGTTAACAAAAATATATATTTCAACTATTAACAAGAAATACAATTGTTTAACCGCACAGAATTTACCAAAAGATAGCCGAGTCGAACGTATTAGAAAGTAATGCAATAAACGAGAGAAAAGCCGGGTCGAAAATAAATTACTGAATGTCCGCAAGCAACGGTAATTAAACGTGAAAAACGAAAAAGACAAGCGATCTTTTTCGTAAAGTATAAGCACACTCTTGACGCGACAAGCAATCGGAAAAGAGCGCCGGGGTTACGAGAGAGGAGGTTTATATAGGCCTTATTTTCTGGAATATTCGAGAACATTTTTATTACTCTATCTGTAGGTTGAGGGCGAAAGAACATTCGCTGTAATTATTTACGTTCCCGCAATTCGTAGTTTTGTTATTGTTGGGAACTAAAATGTATCTCCTCTCGCGCGACCGCGGTGTTTACAATTATATGTGATTTGACGTAAGCGCTTCCTTTTCGCAGGCGCGGGGTACCCGTAAACCTGTGCGGCCGAGCGCTATTTGAAAATAATATTAATATAAAATTAAGCATGATGCATGTTGCATGTGAATGAAAAGACTGCATGAATTTTAATGTAATAATGTTTTAAGACTTTTCAGCTTTCGTTAGACGTTCGATTTTCGAACAAATGAATTAAAAATGTTCTGAATAAAAATATGGTTTAAAAAACGTAAATTATTTATTATTTATATTGTAATATTACGTACAATAACTTTGCTAGAACCAAGGAAAAGATATATATTATTTAAATCCAGTTATATTAATATCATCAATCAAACATCTTTGATTAAAATTAAAATTGTATTAATTGTTACACATTGTTAATTAATGGAAATAGAGAAATTATATCGATTTTTTTAAGTCAATTATTAATGGAAGAGATTCGCATTAAATTTGCTATATTTAATCGTCAATTATATATTTTTAATTGTTTTTGCTCAAATCAATTGTCAATTGAATTGTCTTCAATTGAATCTGTTTTTTTTCAATCGTCCATTAAAGTACTTCTAATTAAAATTAACTTATTAATCGTTTAATTGAAAAACTTTTAATTAAATTAGCTTGTATTAATCGTTTAATCGATCGCTCTCCGATTAATTTCGTTTATATCGATTGTCAATTAAATAATCTTCAATTGACTTCGATCATATTAATCGTTAATTAAGCGATCTTCGATTAATCTAGCTTATATTAATCGTCATTGTAACGATCTCTAATTAATCTTTCTAAAATTAATCGTTAATTAAAAATATTTTAATTACATTTGATTACATCTGTTTGTAATTAAATGCCATAATTAATTTAAAAAGTAATTAATTAATGACCATCTCTGGTTTGAAGATTCCCACTCTGTCTGCCACATGTTTATTGCCTCATCCTGAATAATACTTATTGCTATTTTTTCTCGGTTTCCGCGGGTATTTCAACGTTCCCGAAATTTATTGCCTGACCTTTCCGCGCGTGGTATCGCGTCGCGTATTCTTTTAGTAGAATGTCAACCGGCATTGCTCCTGCTACTACGCAAAGTGATTGGAAGAATGCTGTCCGATATGCTTTAGTAATCGATATTAGCGCTCTCCGCTGCGCTGCTTTCAAAGTTTTGACGTCCCGTTTTGTGCATAAATCCGCCCAACTTATGACGGCGTACGTTACTTTTGGTACCAGGGCTCCACGGTATATAACGTTTAACACGTCGTATTTAAGTCCCCACTTGGCTCGCGCGACTCTACCTAGATTTTGGAATAGTGACTCGACGGCTGTTACTTAATTTTTGGCAATCCCTTTTAACTCTCATCTTGTGGTCGAAGTTAACTCTTAGGTATCGGACTGTTCGTTTAAAATTAATTCTCGCGTTTTCTATCTTTATTGTTGGCAGCGTATTCTTGAAGTCGACGCTCTTTCTACCGTTAGACTTTCGCTTTCTATCCGGTCTGTCTCCTCGTCTTCCGATTAAGAGTGTCCCCAAAGTCGGAACGGCCAAATATTTCAAAAATAAATCACTTAAGAGAAAAATGTTTCCTGCAAAAGTTGTAGAATTCAAAATAAGATACTCGACGATGAGGATACTCTTATAATTTGACCTCTATTCTCTACATTTGATCCTCGTGTAAAGGTCAAATTATCTCACTACCAGATATCTTTCTTGTACGCTAAAACACTCATGCAACCATTTTTATTTTTTAGAAACAGACTCCAATTGCTTCGCAAAAAAATTATTTCGGCCTTGAAATAACCCCCAAAGGTCATTTTAATCCTTCCTCATGACCACATGTGTCAACGTGACATTTTTGTTCTTTCCAATTCTGATATCAAAAATAGATAGTCCTATTAAAAAAATCAAGTTGTCTTTGATTTGACCTCTTAATTTGATCTCAAGATCAAGTTCAAGAGCACCATCAAGTGCGCACGTTCAAATTCTAAAACTTTTGTATTTAACATAGGAAGTATGAGAAATTAGAATGACACAATTAAGATTAATAAAGATAAACATTTTGATGTTAAACGCAAGAATTAAAATTTACATACTTTCTTAATAAAAGCGCAGTTAGTTGACATTGTTGTCATTATTAAACAATGTGATTATATCTAAATTTTTAAAACATTTGAAAAAACTTTTGAAAGAACTTTTGAAAGAAAGAAACCGCATCTTATCGTTATGATGGATTGTCAAAAACTGAGTATGTAAAGTTTATATGACTTTTATAATTATGTCATCGATGTTGTTTAAATTCTCTGTGTCTTTATGTAGGTTAACTGTATTATTAACTTTTTTAATAAAAAACATCTTTGCGATTTTTCTTTTTCTAACATGTTTTTCATTATGTAATATAACGGATAATACCCAATCTGTTTCAATTTGAACGTGATATTTAAACTATCTTGATGTAGGGTGGACGCGCTCCGAATTTGGTGCGCGAAGGAAGTAGAAAAAAATCATTGAACATTCGAGTTTAACACATTTACAAAAGTATTTATTACTTCACATCGCACACGTTAACCAAAAAGTGAAATCGTTAACAAAATTATTTCATTATTCTCTTCACAACAATGCGAGTATAATACACTGAGTATGCATAAGTCGATCACGCTTGTTATTCATGATCATAATTTCGAATCTAAAATTCAAAGGAATTTTCGATAACTTTTGTTCGTCGTACGCAGAGAATGTTTTTTCGCACTTGTTTGTTCATCGACTATGTTTGATTTGAAGGACACTGCTTCCGTATGCGCAGAATATCCTCTTACACAAATATTAAATTTCCTTTAATTGTTCTTACATACGATTCAATAATCGTCATGCGAAAAAAAAATGAGATTAATTTCACTAACACGTGAACTTGCTTAAGTGTGAGACAATTATGTACGGTCACTGACATGTGAACCGAGAGCTGATTGAGAGTGATCGTTAGGAACGATACAGTTTGTATTTAAACAATGAGTTGCGCCCTGTTTGATAGCGCGATGCATCGTTTTTATTGCCGGACTACTCGCGGCAATCTAATTTTATGCACAACACTCCGCGTAACTCAGT